ACTCATTTCGGTTGTTTGAATGAAGTTTCCGTAGATATTATATATTTTTCTGAAACCATTCCGTTGAAAACTCGGGTAGTGAAGTATACTCATCAATTGTAAGAATGTATCAACGATCAAAGTTAACATATCGATTGAGTCAATATCAACTTGCAAATGTTTTTTATTCACTAAAGATCAAAAGAGCTGATGAATATTTTCACAATTAACCGGATAATTGGGATAGTAGTGAAGATATCTTAATGTTCCCTGGATGAACTAATTGTCTAATGCGTTCATTGATCAACAGTTCTTACAGTTGTCTTTGGGTTAATATTGATTGTATAATATCCGATTGAACGCTATCGAATTTTGTCGCATCGCAAGACAAGACAGAATAAAAAAAAAACTTCTCATGATTCATATTATCATTTATTACTCCTGCCTCGGCGAACGAAATATTGTAACGAATGAATCTCTTCACTAAAGTTGAAAAATTTTTCGTATGCAGCATAGAGACGTCTTTCTTCAAGATAAAATTTTAGTGGAGAAATCGAGTGGTTCGTTTCGTTTGATTTTGTTAATCGATGTTTTCTTGGAAATATCGTTCTTAACGACTGGTATTACATAGATCTGATCCATTGAAGATTTCAATTATTAACGATTCTAGTTCAGTTAACTTTAACAAGCATTTTTCACGATGATCAAACGTTGGAGACACATTGATGATGACAAGTTTTCACAGATTTGATCCAATTGTAATAGAGATACTGTACCGTGTTGATTGTCATCGGAGTGAAAAGAAACATCCGGATGAATTAAAGACGATGTTCAGAGACACTTTAATATTTCGTTGAATCGATCAATTATCCAACGATCGTTGATGATCAAGTATGTCAAATTGAAAAAATAAATTTTGTGATACGGTACTCTGCTTCGACAGAATCTATGTTGAGATATACGTTAAATACTTTGCTTGATGAACAATGATTTCACTGGGCATGTGATCAGAATCAGTTCTAGGAAAATTTCGTGCGAATGCTAATGATATTGTCTGACAAGGTAAATTACTTCGAATATTTTTCATGAGAGTTTGAAAAATGCTGAAGAAGAAGCGGGATTTGATCCGGCATGAACTACTCGGATAGTTGAAGAGAATAAATTTGTTTTAGTTGTAGATAGTTGCCGATAAAATCCAATGACGATCAAGACATTCGACGGAATTCAAGATTCATTGGATATCAACCAAAAATAGTATTCAAATTCTGGCTTATATCGATGAAATCATTGAAGATGTTCAATGGTTTTCAATAATCAATTCTATTCATAAATCACTGAAACATGCGTTCATGTTTTGCGTCTTATATGCGTAGAAAGAAAAACATCGTATGACTCCAACATATTTATTTTAGGCTGCGAGAGAATAGGTGAAGAAAAGTGATATCAGTTAGCATTCAATCCGACATTGGTATTGAGCAAACGTTTAGCATTACGTAAATTTTCTTGCGCCTGTAGATATTTCGGGTGATCCAGTTGATATGAATAAGCATAAATTTCTAAGGCTTTTGTGAAATGCTCAATAGCCTTTGTATAGTCTTTCTTCATAACATAAGCATTACCGATATGCGTATGAGTGATACCGATATCTTCATGATTTGCATGTAATGTTTTTTCTCGAACTTCTAACTGTAATTCAAAACACATCATGCCCTCTTCCCATTGTTCATTGACAATCATGATGTGTCCAATTTGACCATATATTCGAGCATATTCCATTTCATAATTATTCGATCTAAAATATTTTAATGCAATTTGAAGATGATCCAATGCTTCTTTATATCTTCCCATGTAGAAAAGCATATCACCAATGTTTCTAAATGATTCCATTTTGCCCTTTTCCTTGTTTAATCTTTTCCATATATTCAATTCTTTCCTAAAATATGCACACGCTTTGGTAAAATACTTTTCTTCTGCTGCTACGGCGCCCAATCCTCGATAAATATGAGCTTTTTCAGTTATTTGTAATGGCTTCATATGTTGGACTGTTCGAAAATATTCGTTTGCTTTTGTATAATTTCCTTGTTGGTAAAGCAGGAAACCTGGCGAAACTTTATCCGCAACGATTTCAGCTGCATATTGCCTCATAATCTCATATAAATCGAAATTTTCATCGTCGCACAAGCTTAACATCGCATGCCAGCGTTGATTAGTCTCATCAAATTCAACAGTTTCGATGTGAAAAACTGCACCAAGTGCTATTAAAATTTCATCTTCATCCACAAATTGGCTTAGATGACTGATGCTCGCATACGACTTCGTGCTGTTTAAATGTGTGGCAAGTTTAAATTCATACATAATCCACGTTTGATCCGTATTCGTATTGGGAACTCCTGCTCCTGAATAAATACATGCGACTTCACGATTTGTACTTGTGCTAAGAAAACTTTGCATGGAAAAATAGCCGCCTTGTCGTTGACGAAGTATATTCAATTCTGCATGAGTGATCGATTGTCCACGATAAACAGTGAGTGAAGAACTACATGTGTCCGTCGCGGACCTGACACGAAATTGTTCGTGCTCGGAAACTATTTGGTTGTAAAGATCGACAATAAACATTCGTAATGCGAATAAACTGTCAAAATCAGATTCTCTTAAAGCTTTGTTCAATAATGCGTATAGAAATATATATTTTGTGTAACAGTGTATAGCATTGTTACGTTCATAAGTACGATCGAATTCATCGATTTGTTGCCGATTTATGTCATCGTCGTAGAATATGCGTGTAAGATGAGTTATCATATCTTGTTTCGATAACGATTCGTCATCATTTGACATTTTCAGAAAAATATCGATAAGAATATGAAAATACATAAATTTAATATTGAGTAATTTCGATGCACTGGTTACATCAATCATATTTTCAATGCTGATAAAGGTATCAAAAGGAATCTGTTGGTCACTTAATCGATTGTCATACGAAAGTTTAACTAAAACTTGATCGATATGTGTGAAACTGCCTCTAACCTAAATTACATACACGAAATGAAAATTCATTGTTGTCATTGTAGAACTGTTACTCGATTATATCGATCGGTCCAATCCGAATTTTTCTCAGCTGTCGGATTCAAAAGGTAAATTGCTTTCAGCTGGTGACATTGATCGATAAGCAATAGAATTTCCTCTGTAATCTCACCCGAAATAACCAATACAGTGTTCGTATCATCCATATCCGTTATATAATCGATACAGCAGTCAATATTTTCGAAAACGTTCATTTGTAATCGTTTTCGGATATCTTCTGCACAACTTCGACCAGTCAGATCAAGCCAAACTATTGTATTTTCTGTAAGATTATTCATACTTATCTGATAAAATCGTGAAAATGAATTCTGTATCGATCGTTATATTCACCTACTTGAATCAACAACAACAACAAAAAACTGAGAAATTAATACGTTTTTTCCAAGAGAACGTGCGCAAAATAATGACTTTTATTTTCCTATTAAGAAGAACAGAAAAATTCTTCATCACATGTCTGTGTAGTTAACAACATTGAGTCGTGAATTCATAAAAGCACGTTTGTTCACAATCGTTGAGACTTTTGTTTACATGTCTTCGATTTGGTGCATTATGATCTATAGATAATTCTACAACGATAGAGACTAAACGGAAATGACTACATTCATGAGTCAAGATGAAATTACATGAAGAAATAAACTGCGTCACATGTAATCAAATAAATAATAAGCAATAACGCTGTATTCTTTTAAACACCACGTTACATTATCGCGAATGGCGTCTGTAGGCGAGGAAAAAACCAGTCACACATGACGTTTATATACACAGTAGCGTTTAATCAAGTCGTTTGATCATGGAGTCGCTGCCCGATGAATTGCTCTTACTCATTTTCCGTTATTTGAGAAAACCGGATATTATTTGTGCGTTTAGTAATCTCAATTCTCGTTTTCAACAAATAGTCGATCCTTACATCCACAATATCGATTTAACACCAGCGAATACTGTTAACTACAAAACAATTCGTCTAATTCTTGATGATATTGTTCCAATATATGCTGATCGAATTCAATCTCTCACCTTCGACCTTGGTCGACACCTATCTTTATTTCGGCCGTATGTGCATCATTTCAACAATCTGAAATCTCTCACCATCGAATCCGACAACACTCGCGAATCCCATTGTTTGTATCAACTAAATGAATTCCTTACGAAAGTTCTTTCCTTACAAACTTTAATTGAACTTTCGCTCCCTTCACGAAAGGAAATTTTAAGCACGATTGCATATCATGCAACACCTCATCTATCAACACTATCTTTGTCACAATTTCATGGCCATATATTGACTTTGTACATGCCTAAAATGCCTTATATAAAACGTAGTTCCATCGCATTACAGAACGCTAATTATTTGCGTTCACTATTTATGATAATGCCAAACCTTGAAGAACTCAGTTTATCCTTATTCAATGTCAACTGCTATTACCAAGGTCATTATCCATTGCCTGTACCAGTTTCTCTTGCGAAACTGACTGTTCGTTTTGGTGCTTCAATCGAAGATAGTTATTTCTATCGCCAACCATACTTCAAATGGATGAAAGACTTCTTAACGCAATTTAAAGATACTGTCAAATCGTTGACATTTATTGGACTCTATGTTGATAACGAATTCATTGAGAAGGATAACATTCAAAAATTGGTTCAAAATTTCTCTCGATTGCAAGTATTTCATTATGATTTTCACACAAAAAGTAAACCCGAGCGTTGCTTTACAAATATGATAAAGATTTCTAGCGCAAACCATTTCATCAATGATTCTCCTATTACTGTTTTGTTACGTTCGACACCAAATCAATTGTATATGTGTAACAAATTGAAAGTTGTGAACGAAATATTTGATCTTGAACATTTGTTATCATTCTACAAATTCAAACCGAATTACAAACTTCGAAATTTGAGGGAGATTGTTTGCTATCACGACTTACAAGATACGACCTCTATAAGAAATCAACTCATTTCGAGACTGATCGGTATGTCACCAAATTTACAAACTATTTCTGTTCATTACTGGCACGATCCACGATTACTCATCAAATGGTTCAAAGAGGTGTCTTTCGATCGCTGCAAAACAGTTTCTAATTTCAAATATCTCGCTCAAATGACATTTGCCGACTATTGTGATCCGAGATTCTTGTACGAACTAGCAAAACTGTTTCCGCGATTAAAAACCATTACATTTACATGGTTTTCACAAACTAACGGAAACAATTCGACACAACTTACTCGTTTGATTCGACATCTGCGAAAATATTTTGCTCATATGACTTATCTGAAATTCGAAATAAGCTCGTTCCATTTTAATTCTCAGCCACTGTTTGATAAACACGGAACAATGTTGAATGAACTAATGCGACAAAATATGACATACCATACAATTGACAGAGAAAGAGGACATCGCTTATTGAATATTTTGTTATGAAATCTCATTTGAGCGGTTAATTTAAAAAACACAGATTCATAGGCAGTTTTTCAAATAAACGTTGAGATGAAAAAGAAAGCAAAAATGGAATTTTAAAGATCGTTTGCTTTGGCGAACAAGTTCTGTTGCTCGCATTCCATTCTGATTTGATTCATTAATAATAATGGCATCAAATTCCGCTTATTTTTTGTCCTTAGGAAAATATAGAGGAGAAAGACCATTTCGGGAATGAGAATTCGCTTCCATAATCAATATTGATTGAACTTTTTCCTCCGATTCTATATCATTTACGGCTACGATCAGACAGTGGAAACATGATGTTCACCAGGGGTGACCTAAGATCATGGTGGATTATTCTGCCAGTAATGATTGGCTCTGCGACAGGTAATGTAGAATGGATCTAAAGTATACTGTTTAGCTCAATTATTCGCCGATGTGAATTAAATTCAATACGAATGTATGCAGAGCTTTGAAAAATCCTCTATGACATAACTAATTAAAAAAATATTGATGTTATTTTATTTTTCTTCATTAGCTATTTCTTACAATCAGCCAAAATTTTGTCCAAATGTAACATGGAGTGCCAATGCAACAACATTTGCAGGGAGCGGTGTTATTGGCACACAACCTAGCGCTCTTTTTATCGATGCAAATAATACAGTTTATGTGACCAGCTATAGCAATAATAAAATCATGGTATGGCCTAAAGGATCCAGCTCACCCTCAAAAACTATGTCTGCTGGTTTGAAAAACTCGTATACAATGTTTGTTACCATTTCGGGTGACATTATTGTTGATAACGGTGACACACACGGCCGGGTGGAAAGACTTCTGCCAAATGGAACAAAATCTACCCCTGCCATGTACGTTAGTTCCTATTGCATTGGACTTTTTGTTGATGTAAATGATACAATTTATTGTTCATTGGCGAAAATGCACGAAGTTATCAAGAGATCGCTGGGAAGTAATTCGAACACAACAACAGTTGTGGCTGGTACTGGTAACAAAGGAGCGTCGCTAAGCAGACTTAATACACCTGGTGGAATCTTTGTTGATGTCAATTTCGATTTATATGTAGCAGATTCTGGCAATAGTCGCGTTCAACGCTTCCGATTCGGACAATTGAATGCAACAACAGTTGCTGGAGCAGGACTAAATGGAAGTGTAACACTTGATTTTCCCACGGGAGTAATATTGGATACCGATAAGAATCTTTACATTGTCGATTATTATGGTAATCGTGTCTTTCGATCTGGACTAGATGGCTTTCGGTGTTTAGTGGGATGTTCTGGAAAAAATGGTTCAGGTCCTACTGAATTTTACTTCCCGATCACCATAGCTTTCGATAGTTACGGAAATATTTTTGTAGCCGATGAGCAAAATAATCGTATTCAAAAATTCGATCTAATGACAAACTCATGCGGTAATTAACTGATTTTCTCACACGAGCAATCTATGTCACATCTACATATTCTTAGACCCAACAACACTTGCTCCAACCACTACACAATATCAAACACGTAAATGCGATTACTTAAAAAGAATACCGAAATGTAACTCTTTTAGCTCTAGAATATACAACATATAATCAAACAACATTGATTTCATCAATCGAACAAACATCAACAACTACGACAACAACGTCTACTGCTTTTCGAACGATCATTTCAAATCAAAGTAAAAAGATTCTTCAATAGTGATGATGATCAAAGTACGACTTATGATATTTATTAAGGTTGTTTTTCTCCGAACGTCACAATCATTCCAGCAGCATCAACATTGAATTCACCAATGCAAATTCGTCGCAGTCAAGATTTTTATTTCATATCACTCATCAAAATTAATTGCAATCAATCATTTTCCATCTCAACCAAATGGACAGTTAGCAACTGTACATCGACATGCTCCAATCAAGTTCAAATTGATGATAAAGTTCTTACCACTTCTAGTGAACTGTATATTCCAGCTCGGACACTTCCATACGGGACCTACCTATTCCAATTATCAGTAATCATGCTCGATATACCTCAGCTGGAAACAACATCGTCCGTTTATGTTGATATCACACCGTCAGGTATCACAGCAAATCTTGTTCAATATGGAACATCAATGATCACTATTGGATACAACCAAGACCTCCTACTTGATCCAGGCTCATATTCTATTGATATGGATGAACCCTACTTCAATGCCACAGTATGCAATGTCTTAATAAACACACCATACTTATCAACATTGTTTTCCTTTAGAACTGGAAATATAAGTACTATTGTCGAATCTATGGTCAGTACAACTTTCCCAACTTACAAGGATCTCTGATCACGATCGATAATCCATTGATTGATCCGCTCAATCCATCTTGCCTATCAAATAAAACAGCATGGAAGTTTGGCAATTCTATCAATTCCGTCATCATCCTTCTCTCTCAATCACTTCAAGCGAATCGAACATATCAATTCATGGTGTATATGGAGAATCGCAAGAATTCATCGCTCCAAGCAACAGGTTACCTTCTCGTCAAAGTGGAACATACTCCGAGACAAATGATTGTTATTGGGTAAGAAATTGTTCACATGCTCTGCAATTATATTTACTCCGGTGTTTATATATAGTTGTATTATCCAAACCGTGTGCATTCCAAATCTGGAATTCCAACTAGTGAATCCAACGACACAGGTTGCATTGTTTTCTGCATGCTCAAGCAACTGTTCAACGATTGTTAATATCACTTGGAATGTCTACTTTGGCTCGATGAATTCGTCTTCGAATGTCACCAAATGGACTCTGTTCAATCAAACAGATGTGTATGAAAATATCTGGTTCTTTGGTATGTATATTATTTGTCTTTACTTTACAATTCTCAACATTCGAAGTGTTTAGGAAGGTATACGGGTAACTTTACGTCAACTAGTCAGTTATTCCTGATGAATCCACAAGTTAGCCTTTGGCGATTTGAAGTTGTCTACCAGTTTCTATTCGAATCGAGTGCAAGTACATTAAATTTCGTTATCAATCAAGCACCCTCGAATGGCTCATGTTCGATTTCTCCATTGAATGGAGCTACTACTACACTTTTCACGGTTGCATGTCCAGACTGGTTTGACGAAGATGGCATCAAAGATTATTCTCTTTACTATTGGACAAGTGATTCTACCAAGCGATCGATGATTGCATTTTCATTGCTTTCAACGTTAGAAGTTCGTTTACCAACAAGTGATCTGAATGCATCAGTAGTTCACTTGATTGTCTTGGTTCGCGATAAACTTGATTGTGTTCAAGAAGTGAATTTGACATCAGTTACAATTATACAAGATCTATCCGCAGTGAATGATCTATTGAACAACATAAAATCAAATTCACTTGTTCGACTACTTTCCAGTTCAAATCAAAATATTGTTGGACAAGTTCTCAACTCGTTTTCTCAACAACTGAATCAATTCAATCAACAGAATCTCGATCATGCTCTTTCGAACAACATTCCATTGGCTACTATTTCAATTTCTCAGTTAGGTGAACAACGACTACAGCAAACAATATCTTCTGCGAACAGTTCAGCAACGATTGACTTCAAGAACAATCTCAACCGGCAAGCCAATGTTCGAGAATATCTGATGAACTTCACTGACAACTTACCCATAACAACATCAAATAGTATCTTGTTTCAGTCATCAATCCTCTCTCAACTGACACAATCAACAAATCAACTCACAAGATCATCAGCGGTATGGCTAAACACTTTCCAAATCTCTCATTTCTCTTCTCTTCGACATAGTTAATCGCATCGAACAAATGCTATCAATTGGCTGTTCGTTTGAATGCAATATCGATACAAATCTCATACGAAGATGCTCAACTCGCTGCGGATCAACTCACTCAATGCGTCTCCAATGTTCAGACAGTAACTTATTCTCAATTTCCTTCGATGAGAATATCCTCTGAATTCTAGGCAATCAATGGAGCACTGCAAGAACGAATAGCAGTTCTTGATATGGATTATTCTCGTGCTAATGGTTTTCCTGCTGATTACGATACCGACCTGGACTCTGCATGGTCAAATCCAAGTAAGTACAGATGCTTAGCTGGACGAAAGAGGGATTATCTCTTATTTGAAAAGAGTTGTTCGCCGGCGGAAATGACTTTTCAACGGAAACGATGGAGAGGAATCGAAATCTGTTTTATCAGAAACAAATACAAAATCAGATCAATCAACAAACAAAACAGACACTTGCATTGTTAACTTCTGCATTACATAATCATATGAACATCGCTCAAAATTTCACAATCAACTCATCATCTGTCTTCATGTCATTACAAATTACAAACACACAATCACTTTCAAATCAAATCATCAAACCAATTGCTAGTGCACTAATCCAACTACCATCCAATTTCACTTCATCCGAGTCTTCAGTTTCACTTCGAGTGTGTTCTTTTTCTTATGATCTGACTCTGCATCTCTTAATTTTAGTCCATTGTCCAACCACTTGCACCAGCTGATCAATCGTACTCTTACACAAATCTTTCCACAACCATTTCCCTTTCGATTCTTGATCAAAATGGAAATGAACTTTCATATCCAGCATCATCCAATAATCCATATTGATTTGTGATTCCACGAGATGCTAATCTCATCCTTCCGACAATGACTTTACAGAATGTTACTTCCATGAACAATACACCGCATCATCTTCTGTTCAACTTGCATTATGTTGATTTATCTCAATCAAATGGTGTTTCCGTATCGGTACATATTGAAATCAAACCATTAAATCCAAGTCTCGGCTACCTGTTGATATATAAATTTGACAGTTTACCAATGTTGAATAGTTCTATGTCTCAAATTGATCAGTGGTTCCTATTTTGTCCTTCAAGTTCGCTGCGCTTGCATGAATTTCCTAGAATCTAGACACGATTTTTACTTTAGATTTGACTAACAACCACATTTATGCTTATTTTATCAATAATCAACTAACAAATCATCACAAATCACTGATCTTTGGTTTACGTGAACTGAACACGACAGAAATATTTCACTATTGTTCAACTCCATCGACCAATCCGCCCATCACTAACGAACCATTCCATTTTACATCGAATTATGAACTTCGCCTGTACACGTCCGGTTGTTACTATCTTGATTCAAATAATCGGTGGCAATCCGATGGATTGATTGTAAGTCATTTCAACGTTACAGAATAAAGTTCATTTTCTTCCTTCGAAAGGTCGGCCCATTGACAAATGTGAATGAAACAGAATGCTTATCGACTCATTTAACAACGTTTGCAGGTGGATTTCTGGCGTTACCAGCACCTGTCAACTGGAATTATGTCTTCGCAAATGCAGATTTCAATCGCAACAAAATAATTTATATCACCGTAATCTGCGTTTCTATTCTTTATCTACTCATAATGACCTATGCACACTATAAGAATAAAACAGATATTGAAAAAGTAAGATGCGATGTATTTACTTCAAAATGCGAAACTATTTCATTTCAGTTAGGAGTGCTTGCATTGGAAGATAACTGTAAGAAAGATCAGTATTGCTATCAAATCATTGTTTTCATTGGAAATCGAAAGAATGCAGGAACCAAATCTCGAGTTCATTTCATTCTTGCTGGTGATGAAGATGAAACACAAGTTCGAACCTTCAATCATTCCAAGCGGCAGATATCTCAACGTGGCCAAATGGGCTCATTTGTAATTACTGCAGGGAAGAAAATGCGATTGATTAAGCGAGAAGTTGTCTTATATTTGTTTTCTTGTTCTTCTTAACGTCGCCAGCTATTCTCATCGAATTGACTATCAATTCAAAGAAGTCGATCATTCGAGAAAATACCTTCTCAGTCCACAAGTTCGATCACCTAGTTGTTGTCTGAATGCATAATTATTTGCTTGATATTTAGATTTCCACTATCGATGAATATTGGAATCGGCTAGAGAATGATTCGCCTCGCAATCTCTCTGGATATTTCGATGATAAAACAAATCGACTGATTGGATGGTTCAAAATGATACAACTACGTGTCAAATCTGAACAATATCGACCGTGGAATTCTACATGCGATTATGATCTTCGTTCATCAAATGAAGAAAAATGTTCATTTGAATCAGGATGGTCAACTGTATTAGTTGAAAAAGCTTTTCAATACACAGCAGATGTTTATGTTTATGACCTTCGAAGTAATCTTTCTACACTTCGTCAATTCAGTTGGATTGATAGCCAGACGAGACTTATCGAGATCCAATCGAATCTATTCCATCCAACTCTGAATTTGTTCACTTCAATAAAACTGCAAACAGAATTTCACGTTGATTCATTTCCATTTCAAAGTGAGTCCTATCGTCATTTTCTTTTCTTTCTGAAGATTCTCTTTGTATTTCAGTGATGTCAACTGTGTCTGAATTAGTTTGTAATATTGTCTATCTAATAATTATCATGTGTCTGATGATTGAACTGGTTCACTCAATCAAACGAATGAAAATAAAATACTTCCACAATGTTTGTTCTTATGTTAATATGAGTATCATCATTTGCTCATGGATTAACATGATCATCTTTGCATTGAAATATCAGCAAGCAAATATCATTGAGAATTTCTTCAATGAAACCAATGACTATGTTTATATTGATCTGGACTATGCAATTCGTTTGGATAAGTTATTCAAGAACTTCCTGTACTTGGCTTTGGTTCTTAGTTGGATCAAGGTTGTTTGCCTTTGTCACTTTTACCGTCGAAACATACTTTTCGTTCGAACATTTAAACATGCTGCCAAAGATCTTCTGTCGTTTCATCACTCTTGTTCGTAATTAGATTGATCTCGTTTATTCGCTTGTCCTATTTATTATTCCTATCGAAATTGAGTAAGCGTTCTTCAATGAAGCGTACTGTATAAGTGATATTGCTCTCCTAGATTCACACAAATCAACAAAAATGGAATTATTTAGAGTTCTCGATGTTGTCTGTATCATTTTTGTACTGTGCATTTCTATATATGTATAATATAGAATGAATACTAACGATTACACTCGGTCACAATAAAGTGCACAATGCATGCAATTCATTGATTATCTTTCATTTTTATAATAAAGCATTTACATTATTTATTATCTGGTTAGTTAATGAATTCTTGTAATGTAGCGGAACAAGGAGAGAATGCAACATTTTTATTTAATTGTGCTGAAACATGTCTAATTTAAAAAACTGAATACAAACTTGTTTGGCACGTATAGAACTTTTCTATGTTCATCGTTTTAAAATGATAAATTATTATAGAGACGAGAATTCGTGACATATCATTTGTAATTCAGATCAGAGTGCGACAGACAAGTTTTGCCTTTTTATCACGTTAAAAGAAAAGTCATAGCTCGATTCACCATTGTCATTTATAATCTAAGTCAAATTAAATACATTTAGTCTTGTTGCGGGAACAATCGCAACTGGTCCCACTCGACGACGACGACAGAGTTTCCATCTGCCAATAAAATCTGTCAAATGTTTTCGAAATGTTTTGGAAACTGCGCAGTATACCCAAAACGAGAGTCCATTCGTCAAAAACGTAAACATCGTGAGAACCAGCATGATAAGGTGTTCATAAACTGCTTGTAGAAGTGTCCTCTTGGAATATTGTGTGATTAAAATGTAACAAAAATAGATTCCTGAAGGTATACCATTCATTAGTAAAATACTCATTTGAATGAGCATCATCCGAGTTACGACAGTTTCCAACTTTTTTCGACGTCTTAACAATTGTCGCAAGTTGAACCAAGTTAAGCAGAAGAATACAAAGATGAATGCCACTGGTAAAAAGTAATAACCGATGATGATGCAATAATTACCATATGTAATGATGACAGGAAGAGAACTTGTACATATACACGTATGTAATGAAGTATAAGTATGTTTATAATAAATAGGTAAAGGTATAAAGACCAGAGGCCAAAAGATGCCTGCAAAACAAATCATTAGTTTTGCGCGAAAGCGTGTAATCAGTCGTTGCCATTGAAGTTTAGGTGAAGTGATAAGATATTGGCCTAATGTTACAAAACAGGTACACATAAAACTAAAACAGCCACTGAAATAGGTCAACCAAGTGCCTATTTTACACCAAAATAACCATTGATCTGCTACTTTATTTTCACTCCATACTCGAATGATAGCAGATGATAGACCAATATCTATGAAAATCAAACTTCCTACTGATGCAGCTATCGTGAACAACGCATTGGGATGTTTATTCAATGCTGGAATGCACAGAAAAGCGAAACAGTTACATAAATTGCCAATTGTACTATAGACAACTATGAATAAACCAACAGTTTGGTATAAACGATCTCCGATAGAGAGTAAATACAGGGCGGTGCTCGAATCAGAAGACATTTCAGGTCTTGTGTGAATGATGTAAGTATAGAAGTGTGTAGAGATGCGTGTTAAAATGAGTATTTAGATGAAACTAGAATAATAGCACGACATTTTATTTGCGCATCAGCATAGAACGCATTTAAGAGCTTAGAGAAGGAGATGCGAATCGTCGTAGAGTCAAGTGTACTTTATGGAAAATATTCATTACGCTTGTAGTAAAGCCACCCAAGTGAAACCGATACGAAAATAGGTCAATGAATAAGTTTAAGGAAACGTACTATAGTTCGTCGATAGCGATCGGATCTTTTTTTTAAATACAACATAATTTTAAACGAGATGAAGGCATGAGTTCGGTTGAATCGTAGTGTATGATGATGATCAATAAGTTCATCGAAGAAAATAGATTAATCTAACAAAAACTTCGTCGTAATTTTCGCATTCGCACTTAAATTTGTGTTTCTCAAGCGAAGTTCTTCCTAGATCTTGTCTCCAGACGTTTACGCCAACTAGTTTGACTAGATCAAAAATCATTTAGTCCGAAACTGTTGCTTTTTAATTTATATGTTGAGAATTTATGTATACTCGAAGGTACAACATTTATCATTATACCCGAGCTGTTCGAATTGTGCAAACATCAGTCACCATTTCCTATTATTAGTAATTTGATCAATTATCGTTAGTTCGCCATTTCATAAATGATGTATGATTAATATGTCTTTGTCAGACACAAGCTATGGTAACGTGTGGAATTATTCCTGTTCCTACACTCTGCATCTATTAATCTTTTAAACATACATAAAATTCATTGGAGATTATTCAACGAGAAGGTTTTCAAAAATTCTTGTCGATAAGTTTTAGATGAAAAAATGTAAAGAAGAAGTGGTAAGAAGTATATCGTTTGCTGCCAAAGGCTTAAAATCACACGGACTTGCGCCATAAAAGGAGTGTTCATCGACGGAACGAACGTAATTATTGTGTAACCGACGCCTGCAGGAATAGAAAACACCAGGTACGCACTCACTTGTAAAACTATCATGCGCACTAGTTGATTTTCAACACGACGCATACGAATCTCTCGTTGAGCATTCATCGCGGATGGAACAGTACGATGTGTTTGTCTTTGAATGTTCCGTACGAGCAGACAATCGAATACAATCATAGCTATCGGTATGAGAATATACGAAAGAACAATTCGACTTGAAAGATAAATATTAGCGATCGTATATGAATATGCGACGCATTGGTTTGTTTTAGGATTCAGATCATACAGCAATGCGTGTGGGAAAGCATAGATAGCCGTGAGGAGAGCAATGATGATTATAATCTGTTGTGCAATTCGCACGCGACTTAGATTGCGGATACGTGCCGACAATGCGCTGGCAAAAAAACGATCGGCAGATGCGAATACTAACATTATGGAAATAAATAATGGCAAAACATATATTACGAACGTTTGTAATCGACATCCAATGGGTGTTGATGTTACAACATATCCGAAACGAAGGCGAAGAAACATCATTACGGGTACTTCGCATGTATATAGTAAACAAGTAAAAGCAAAAGCAAGAAAATAATGTGTAATTGAACATGAACGAAGCTTTGGCCGGTAGAGTACGTAGATATTAACAAGATTTGATATAATTGTCAGGGAGATAGTAATTGGATAAATGTATACAGAAGCTTTGTTAACTTCAGCCTGTAGATCGTTTGAAACAGACGGCGATAATGTGGTATTCATCCGATAGAGCACAAAAGAAGTTTAAAATAAGAAAACAGGATTGACTGATATTTTCTCTAAGGGCTTTGTTGAGGTTATTGCTGTATGAAGGAATGAATTTTGGCTTTCTGCGCTATCTTTTATGAATAAAAAGCTTGCCATGCTGGCTCATACTCGCACGTGAAGTAAATGAAACAACGTCATAGAGAAAAAAGTCCCAACATGACATTTATCAATTTTTTTACAAAGGCAAGGTTATTTAGTTTATTAATAAGATATATAAGTGTTATTCAGCCGAAGCAGTGGAGGAAAAAAAGACACTTGTTGAAGGGAATGTATTCTTAATTATTCTTTTGTGATAAAATCTTCTAAAATGAGAGATGTATGAGAATAGAATATCCAAAATGAATAATGTACATTTGCGCTAAAAGTGATCATAAGAGGATAGTGATATCATATTTATTTATTCACTTTCTCAATTCCACACAAAAATATCCTCCTCTCTTAGAGGTATAGAGAATGAATTTGCGATTCATGCAGTTTGCACATGTATGCTAATGGATATGAGACTGTAGTTTTGTCTTACTAGTATAATTACATTTCCAAATGTTCCGAAGCGAACTGAAGTAGTGGTATGAATTTAGAGATTCGTATAGCAGCAACATAGGTGCTGAGAGCCAAAGCGTAATCTCAGCTCGACATGCTAGCAACTGATAATGATTCTCGTACCTACCTGTAATATGTTGATTTAGTTTGAGAAACTTTTTGAAGCGTTTACTTTCTCTGATATAAGTGCCTTCGTTTCAGACTTACAAAAGTTTTATAGCATTAACTATGATTAACTTCCTGAGAAATAGCAACTTCAGACAAGTTTTTTTTTGAAAAAAGAAAAAGATTAAATTTCCGGTTTTCCGCGGGATAATCTTCTATAGAATCGCAAATAGATATTGCCTCGTTCATTGTTATTCGGTGCATACAATCTAAGGTTTATAAAAGAATTTTGAGCCAATACCTGTTCCTATCGATTGGGGCAGTAGCGCTCGACCAACCCCTGGCATACGCAACGCAGTCTATGGATGATAGAGACCAGCTACAACAGCTCTCATGAGTCATCGCATCTTGAAATGTTACATCATCACTGAGAAAATCGTGCTCAGGCTAAATGGCCATATTGAAACATGTCAAACGGAGAGTGCATCCTATTCCGCAATGTTGCACTTTTGGAAATCAGTTCCTACGATGAAAGTGATGAAAAAAGGTTCAGTCATACTCAAGTTCAGAAGATTTCAAAGTCTATGGGGAAAAAAATCAGTTTTGAGCTACTCTGCGAAAGAAAGTAGGTATTATCTTGATAGTCTGGTAGTATGCGTGTTCCAGATGTAATCAGCATAGTAACAGCTCACGTATAGATTTCAAGATTATTATTCGAATTTACGCTGCTTCTAAACACTTGACCACTCGAATTTGTTTGTTGGAAACTAGCTGCTTTGCATTGAGCTTTGTCTAAACAATTCATTTGGCATTGGCGCGTATTTAGTGGCGTCAGATCATATACGATGAACAAGTGATTGTTGTACATTGAAACCGCCATCGGCCCATTAGAGTCAGCCGTACTGATCGTATGCCATATGCAGCTCTTTGTTAGAAAAAACTGAACAAAAACAAGAGAAAAAACACTTCTTGACACCATAACCGAGAAGATTGCTTAGAATGAAATTTACAAAAATCTTCCTATTTTCTTTCTTTCTTTCATTACGATATTGAGTATTGCTTTATTTTTGGATGAGTAGTATTTCTTAATGCTATTTTGCACACAGTCCATATGCTTGCAAAATATCCTCCTACCTGAATATGAAGATCAGATGTACTTCGTTCATCTCCACTCCTCTGTCACTTTTATATCCGAAAAAATAGCAAAATATTGTTTGTTCAAGTCAGGCTATTGTTAACAATACAGGTACTCCGTCACGAATACATGTCATTTGAAACTCTCCTTTATAAAGTACAGATTTGACGAACAAGTTCGATTATCGCATGTGCCACCTTCAAATAATATCGCACCGCTCACGCTTTCAGTTAGAGCACAAGAGAGATATCGTTTGTTACTAAGGATTTTGCCTTTAACCCTTTCAGGACCGGCTTATTTTGAGAAAAAATTACGAAGCTTTTTAAAAATGATTTATTTTTGTCAGATTTATGAAAAGTATGAATATCAAAAGGCTTTCAAAGTGTGATATTCTTTGAAGCACTCGGGATTACAGAGTGGAATGCCACAATCTGGACAGTAAAATCTTGTAACACTTCGTTTTTTTCTGCTTCGTTGTATGGCTGCAGTCCTATCGACTTCTGTATCAGATATAATGCTATTTCCTCCAAGCACGATCAGAGAAGATTCGTGTCATCTAAACTGTTTTCTGCGCTGAGATTCTTCACTTCGATAGTGACCCGTCTCAAAATAGCCTGCATATTATTCTTTTATAGCTACCCTCACCCACCCTCAAGACGATGAGCTCAAAGCTGAATATAGAAAAAAAGGAAGAATAAAACATCATACCGAAGAGCTGCATTACACCGAAAAGGGATTTGATTGAGAATGAGAAATAAAAGAAAAAAAAGAACTTCCACAGATTTTATTATGTGGGAATGCGTTAATTATTCACTAAACTTGCATTTATTAGTGATAAATCTAATGAAGATGATTTTAAAACGTCAGATAGCATATAAGGTCGAGATGTAGGTTTTGCTGTCGTCACTCGAGTTCAATCTTGTTTCGCATGATCAGATAACGAATTATTGGTAACAATAGTAGTAGTAGCAGTAATAGAACTTGATGAATTATCAGTTGGTGAAGATGTTAAAGCTGCGAGGCGAACTTCATGCCAATCACGATTTCGCTCTAATGTTTCTAAAATAGTATTTGCATCTGGATGTACCAAACCTGCCCATGTTTCCCATAATGGGTGTACAAAAGATTTAATAAAACCAATCTATTTAAAAAAATCAATTTTGGTTATCAGTTTCTTCGGCAAAGTTAAGTAACCTGATGCTTGTCTTTCGTAGTTGCACTTCTCACACACATAGGTGAAATTTCCAAACCAAGATCACGTTCTGCATCGCCTTGTTTCCAAAATTCTTCCATTAATCGATCAATCCATTTGGAATATATATCTAATCGCTTTGTTAGATTTCATAGATCAGCACAATGAATCATATTTTGCAACACCAGAGTTCGATCATCATATGATTCCAGTGTAAGCTTACTATTTCCCGACGTCTTATTTGCTGCAACTAATTTTTGAAAATCAGCTAACAATGTCATATGTTTAGACATATCAGTTGCTAAGACCATGTCCACAACCCTTTTACGCAACGTCTTCATTTGCTCAGTTGTTAAATTTGAGAAAATGTTTCTTTCATCAGCTTGTAATAATTTAAATGCAACAGCTATATGATGATTTTCAAGTACACTTTCATTATTGTACAGAATCGCTAAATCATCTTCTAAAAGGTAAAGAAAAACATATATATGCCGAAGTCCATTTTTTTATTATCATTATTTTGATCTTAAAAAATGATAGCTTCACTCAGGTCGAACGTTCCGGACACCAGATCCAAACGGAACCGACAGGAAAGCACCCTTATTCGAAACAATTCTGTGCGGTTCCACTCAGAACCGAAGGGAACCCAACCAGAAAACATTAGAATACAGAAGCAGTATTTCAGATCGGAAAAAGTCGGAAACGGATTCGCGATCCACCTGAACATTCCGACCACCGGATACCTAGAGGACACCCCAGGAACCTGCCATACACGTCATGCCGAAAACCCATACTTTCACCAACATATCGAAGCACCCCAACGGAACCGTCTGAAACCGTCTAACAGATTTCAAAACAATAAAAATGTCCGAGATTTTCCCGAGAGTTCTCATTCCCATTACTTCCCCCGAAATCCCAAACCTGGAACCATATAAAACCGAACGAACAAATACGGGGTATACTGATCATTTCCTACAACAACCGGACAAAACCAAAACAAACCAACAGAATCCGAGATCACAACACTCTTTTTACTACAAAAACGACCTGTCTTGAACCATAAAATACCAGCATACCGTAGACTACCTATCTACATATCTTCTTCCATCATATTCCTCACCAGCCGTCAACAATCCTATCTACACCAGTACTCTCCGCCTATTTCTAAAACGAATCAAATCCAAAACATAATCCTCCACTAACAAAATATCGAAGCTTGAGGGCGATCACAGCGAAAACTGATGGCTGTTTTGAGGTTAAATGGATGATTGATTCTTAATATGTGTTGTTCGAAACCTGTAGGTTCCATATGAGTGGAATACGGCTAGCGAATCCAGGTGGTTCCTCTGGGAGTTCTATGATCAGGTTAAGTTTGGAAGTTTTCGGATGAAAGCCTGGCTATTTCCGATTTTTTCCCGTGGGGTATGGGCGGAAACCGATGGAATTTTGCCGTGAATTTCCGGTCTGAAATACTGCTTCAGGGAATGCTCGGAACTATGCGGATGCGATCGGCTCTGGACCGGAAGCTTGGACCTGGGTGGTTGTATAGATCCTGCCTTTGAAAGACATACTAGTTTTAATTAAAAATTGATTTGTTAAACCGGGATGGTTGACATCGTGCACTACTGCTGCGAATATCGCCGCCAGGATCTCCAATTCGTTGAACACGTTCTTCAATTTTATCATTTGAAAGGAAACAATAAAAAAAATGTTTTGATTTTCTCTCTTACTTTGAGTACCGAACTATTCAGCAAGANAGCACAACAGGGATATTGTTTGTTACTAGGGATTTTGCCTTTAACCCTTTCAGGACCGACTTATTTTGAGAAAAAATTACGAAATTTAAGCTTTTTAAAAATGATTTATTTTTGTCAGATTCATGAAAAGTATGAATATCAAAAGGCTTTCAAAGTGTGATATTCTTTGAAACACTCATGATTACAGAGTGGAATGCCACAATCTGGACAGTAAAATCTTGTAACACTTCGTTTTTTTCCGCTTCGTTGTATGGCTGCAGTCCTATCGACTTGTGTATCAGATATAATGCTATTTCCTCCAAGCACGATCAGAGAAGATTCGTGTCATCTAAACTGTTTTCTGCGCTGAGATTCTTCACTTCGATAGTGACCCCTCTCAAAATAACCTGCATATTATTCTTTTATAGCTACCCTCACCCACCCTCAAGACGATGAGCTCAAAGCTGGATATAGAAAAAAAAAAGGAAGAATAGAACATCATACCGAAGAGCTGTATTACACCGAAAGGGGATTTGATTGAGAATGAGAAATAAAAGGAAAAAAAAGAACTTTCACAGATTTTATTATGTTGGAATGCGTTAATTAGTCACTAAACTTGCATTTATTAGTGATGAATCTAACGAAGATGATTTTAAAATGTCAGATAGCATATAAGGTCGAGATGTAGGTTTTGATGTCGTCGCTCGCGTTTAATCTTGTTTCGCATCATCAGATGACGAATTATTGGTAACAATAGTAGTAATAGCAGTAATAGAACTTGATGAATTATCAGTTGGTGAAGATGTTAAAGCTGCGAGGCGAACTTCATGCCAATCACGATTTTGCTCTAATGTTTCTAAAATAGTATTTGCATCTGGATGTACCAAACTTGCCCATGTTTCCCATAATGGGTGTACAAAAGATTTAATAAAACCAATCTATTAAAAAAAAAATCAATTTTGGTTATCAGTTTCTTCGGCAAAATTAAGTAACCTGATGTTTGTCTTTCGTAGTTGCACTTCTCACACACATAGGTGAAATTTCCAAACCAAAATCACGTTCTGCATCACCTTGCTTCCAAAATTCTTCCATTAATCGATCAATCCATTTGGAATATATATCTAATGGCTTTGTTAGATTTGATAGATCAGCACAATGAATCATATTTTGTAACACCAGAATTCGATCATCATATGATTCCAGTGTAAGCTTACTATTTCCCGACGTCTTACTTGCTGCAACTAATTTTTGAAAATCAGCTAACAATGTCATATGTTTAGACATATCAGTTGCTAAGACCATGTCCACAACCCTTTTACGCAACGTCTTCATTTGCTCAGCTGTTAAATTTGAGAAAATGTTTCTTTCATCAGCTTTTAATAATTTAAATGCAACAGCTATATGATGATTTTCAAGTACACTTTCATTATTGTACAGAATCGCTAAATCATCTTCTAAAAGATAAAGAAAACCATATATATACCGAAGTCCATTTTTTTATTATCATTATTTTGATCTTAAAAAATGCTAGCTTCACTCAGGTCGAACGTTCCGGACACCAGATCCAAACGGAACCGACAGGAAAGCACCCTTATTCGAAACAATTCCGTGCGCTTCTACTCAGAACCGAAGGGAACCCAACCAGAAACATTGGAATACTGAAGCAGTATTCCAGATCGGAAAAAGTCGGAAATGGATCCGCGATCCACCTGAACATTCCGACCACCGGATACCTAGAGGACACCCCAGGAACCTGCCGTACACGACGTGCCGAAAACCCATACTTTCACTAACACATCGAAGCACCCCAACGGAACCGTCCGGAACCACCTAACAGATTTCAAAACAATAAAAATGTCCGAGATTTTCCCGAGAGTTCCCATTACTTGCCTCGAAATCCGTCTCAATCCAACGAAATCCCAAACCCGGAACCATATAAAACCGAACGAACAAATACGGGGTATACTGATCATTTCCTACAACAACCGGACAAAACCAAACCAAACCAACAGAATCCGAGATCGCAACAATCTTTTTACTACAAAAACGACCTGTCTTGAACCATAAAATACCAGCATACCGTAGACTACCTATTTACATATCTTCTTCCATCATATTTCTCACAGCCGCCAATAATCCTATCTACACCAGTACTCTCCGCGTATTTCTAAAACAAATTAAATCCAAAACATAGTCCTCCACTAACAAAATATCGAAGCTTACCACAACTCAGTTTTCGATGGACTTTTGAGCGGATTAAAAATTCTTACACTAATGATCATTGTAAGGTATAAAGGATTTGATGCTAGATCTATGGACGGATTGCTAGCGAGATTAAAATCGAGTCAGCAATCGTAGTGGGGAGGAAATTTGATGTTTCTCATTATCTCGTTAGAGGACGATCACAGTGAAAACTGATGGTTGTTTTGAGGTTAAATGGATGATTGATTCTTAATATGTGTTGTTCGGAACCTGTAGGTTCCATATGAGTGGAATACGGCTAGCGAAGCCGCGTGGTTCCTCTGGGAGTTCTATGATCAGGTTAAGTTTGGAACTTTTCGGATGAAAGCCTGGCTATTTCCGGTCTGGAATACTGCTTCAGGGAATGCTCGGAACTATGCGGATGCGATCGGTTCTGGACCGGAAGCTTGGACCCGGGTGGTTGTATAGATCCTGCCTTTGAAAGACATACTAGTTTTAATTAAAAATTGATTTGTTAAACCGGGATGGTTGACATCGTGCACTACTGCTGCGAATATCGCCGCCAGGATCTCCAATTCGTTGAACACGTTCTTCAATTTTATTATTTGAAAGGAAACAATAAAAACAAAGTGTTTCGATTTTCTCTCTTACTTTGAGTGCCGAACTATTCAGCAAGACATGCATTGACTGACAAACATCAGCTCCATGAAGTTTATTATGATATGGCACTTGTTGATAATGATCTTCAAGTGCGAATAAGTAAGAAAGTAGTTTATGAGGTTCAATAGAAAATATCCTTATTAAATCACGTTCTTGAAATATTCGATAGGTTATCGCTGTTAATGGCCGTTCGCCACTTATTGTTTCAATAAGAAATATATTGAAATTCCAATCATTAATACGATTAAGTTGAAAACGTAATTCTTCAGGTTGTGGTGTTTCAACGCCTAATTGAGATATTAGAGTTTTTTCTGAAAATGTTGTTGTTGAGGGTGGTACATTGGGTATTTGTGCCACTAAAAAAAGAAAATATACCAAAACAATACATCAAAATGTCTGATTGAAATTTTTAAAATAAGTTTTTATCTCACGGTAATTAATTGCATAATGTTTAATGTATATTTTACAAGGTGTTAACTTGAGTTAGAATGAGAGAGAAACATTAAAGATTATTTAAGCTCCCGACAAGTTATTACGTTTAGTAATTACAAGCATCTAAATAAAAACCAATCTGGATCTTACTTCAATTTCTGTTCACTTCAGTTGTGAATCTTTTATTAGAAAATTATCTGAAACGAAAATTTATATTCTCAAACTACAAGTAAAATCAAAAACTGAATCAACAAATATTTAGAATTCTTTGTAACATCAGTAAATAAAGAAAATTAATACAAGAAAAACAGTACTCATTCTTAAAGCACAATGAAGATGAGCAAAGATCTATTCTAGACTCTATAAAGATCTTATTCGCAACTTTTCACAACCAGTACCTGATCCGAAAGCATCAGAAACCAGTTAGAAAATTCGTTGCTTCCCAACTTTGACACCTAAGGTTCTATCACATTCTGAAAGCAAAGGAGAACGCAACACTACTGTTTTGGAGACTTTGGTACAAAGCTTTCTCAGTCCCGACTCTGATAATGTAGTTAAATTTTTTATTTGTTTGATAGAGCATTTCATTGTTCGTTTCCTTGCATTTTTTGTTCAGCAGAAAAAAGGAAACCAAAGTTCAATGCCTAAAAAATGGGTCAAAACTGAATATCTTCATCTACATATATAATAATAAAACGACTTAATTTTAAAAAAAGGACTCTGTGGTGATCTGCGTTACGAGCCGCTCTTTCAAACAAAAAAGGGTTTTAATATATTCATAGAGTTCAGACCGAAAGTTTCTTGTTTTTAAACAAAAAAAATCTTAAGCTCAGAAAATAAGAAAAATGCTTCTCGTTTTTTGAAGGTTTTGAAGACGGCTTATTTCCTCGTACCTTTATCTGAAATTCGACGATTTTAACGAAAACAGACACTGTCTGAGTATGATGGGCTTAAGACTCCTTTGTATGTATTCCTAGACTGTGTATGATTTTGCAGGAATAAATGCTGCTGAAAATTGCGATGGGTACGCATAAAATAACTATTTAAATAAATTCAACGTGGAAAAAAATAAGAAAAAACAGAATGTGAAAGTATATGTAAGACGCATAAAATACACATTTGTACATACATGAAAGAATCAATCAAGCGTGAAAGACAGAATGCTTTTTGAAACTTTGTACACAACGAGTGCCTTCAACGAATCAAGATACATCCGTATTTTTATCACTTGGCTTTTTCTTTGTGACAGGTAGGTGATGGAAATTGGCCGAAGCGACCAAATATTCTGATTGGCTAATGAAATAATATATATCAGCCTATTAACAGATCGATGCAAATGATTATCGCAATTGCAACGAACCGCACGTTGTCAACTATCAAGAGTCTAACCACGAGATGTCGCGAATTTATTATGTCTGGTATTTTGCACCACACTACTGTGGATTCAATGGTTAAGAAAAGTCATTTCGGACAGATTTATAATAAAAAAACTCAAGTTACACTGCTGTAACTCTTCGTTCTCGCTATAGACAATCATTATGTCTTCATTTATTTCCCATTCCTAAGACCGAAGAACGACGATACTCGTATTGTGCTAGAGGCTGTTAGAAATCACGAAATCAGTGTGTTCCTCTTTGATCAGAATACATAGTCTGGGCATAGCCACTCAATTCTTGTAAGATAAGAAACTATGTGTTCTTAACAAAAAAATTATATACTCAAATTCACTTCTGCAAACTTTTGAATACGTTATTCAGTGCATTCTGACGTGACTTATTGACCTTTTTTGGTAATCAGTTAATGATGGGTTAACTAACTGATTATTAAATATTCAGTCATATACATACTAAATAAATAATCACCCAGGTCAATCGTTCCGGTTCGGGCACAGTTTTCGCCGATTCCAGCAAGTTCCGGCAGGTTCCTTGCCGCCGGATTCCGGCCGGAACCTACCGCGTCATAATAACCTGGGATTCATTACGATATTGAATATTACTTNGAAGTTTATTATGATATGGCACTTGTTGATAATGATCTTCAAGTGCGAATAAGTAAGAAAGTAGTTTATGAGGTTCAATAGAAAATATCCTTATTAAATCACGTTCTTGAAATATTCGATATGTTATCGCTGTTAATGGCCGTTCGCCACTTATTGTTTCAATAAGAAATATATTGAAATTCCAATCATTAATACGATTAAGTTGAAAACGTAATTCTTCAGGTTGTGGCGTTTCAACGCCTAATTGAGGTATTAGAGTTTCTTCTGAAAATGTTGTTGTTGAGGGTGGTACATTGGGTATTTGTGCCACTAGAAAAAGAAAATATACCAAAACAATACATCAAAATGTCTGATTGAAATTTTTAAAATAAGTTTTTATCTCACGGTAATTAACTGCATAGTGTTTAATGTATATTTTACAAAGTGTTAACTTGAGTTAGAATAAGAGAGAAACATTAAAGATTATTTAAGCTCCCGACAAGTTATTACCTTTAGTAGTTACAAGCATCTAAATAATAACCAATCGAGATCTTACTTCAATTTCTGTTCACTTCAGTCGTGAATCTTTTATTAGAAAATTATCTGAAACGAAAATTTATATTCTCAAACTGCAAGTAAAATCAAAAACTGAATCAACAAATATTTAGAATTCTTTGTAACATCAGTAAATAAAGAAAACTAATAAAAGAAAAGCAGTACTCATTCTTAAAGCACAATGAAGATGAGCAAAGATCTATTCTAGACTCTATGAAGATCTTATTCGCAACTTTTCACAACCAGTACCTGATCCGAAAGCATCAGAAACCAGTTAGGAATTTCGTTGCTTCCCAACTTTGATACCTAAGGTTCTATGACATTCTGAAAGCAAAGGAGAACGCAACACTACTGTTTTGAAGACTTTGGTACGAAACTTTCTCAATCCTGACTCTGATAATGTAGTTAAATTATTTATTTGTTTGATACAGCATTTCATTGTTCAGCAGAAAAAAGGAAACCAAAGTTCAATGCCTAAAAAATGGGTCAAAGCTAAATATCTTCATCTACATATATAATAATAAAACGACTTAATTTTAAACAAAGGACTGTGGTGATCTGCGTTGCGAGCCGCTCTTTCAAACAAAAATGGGTTTTAATATATTCATAGAGCCTAGACCGAAAGTTTCTTGTTTTTAAACAAAGAAAATCTTAAGCTCAGAAAATAAGAAAAATGTTTTTCGTTTTTTGAAGGTTTTGAAGACGGCTTATCTCCTCGTACCTTTATCGCAAATTCGACGATTTTAACGAAAACAGACACTGTCTGAGTGTGGTGGGCTTAAGACTCCTTTGTATGTATTCCTAGACTGTGTATTATTTTGCAGGAATAAATGTTGCTGAAAATTGTGATGCGTGCGCATAAAATAACTATTTAAATAAATTCAACGTGGAAAAAAGTAAGAAAAAAACAGAATGTGAAAGTATATGTACGACGCATAAAATACAAATTTGTACATACATGAAAGAATAAATCAAGCGTGAAAGATAGAATGCTTTTTGAAACTTTGTACACAACGAGTGCCTTCAACGAATCAAGATACATCCGTATTTTTATTACTTGGCTTTTCCTTTGTGACAGGTAGGTGATGAAAATTGGCCGAAGCGACCAAATATTCTGATTGGCTAATCAAATAATATATATCAGCCTATTAACAGATCGATACAAATGATCGTTATCGCAATGCAACGAACCGCACGTTGTCAACTATCAAGAGTCTAACCACGAGATGTCGCGAATTTATTATGTCTGGTATTTTGCACCACACTACTGTGGATTCAATGGTTAAGTCATTTCGGACAGATTTATAATTAAAAAAAACTCAAGTTACACTGCGGTGACTCTTCGTTCTCGCTGTAGACAATCATTATGTCTTCGTTTATTTCCCATTCCTAAGAACGACGACACTCGTATTGTTCTAGAAACCACGAAATCAGTGTGTTCCTCTTTGATTAGAATACATAGTCTGGGCATAGCCGCTCAATTCTTGTAAGATAAGAAATCATGTGTTCTTAACAAAAAATTTATATACTCAAATTCACTTCTGCAAACTTTTGAATACGTTATTCAGTGCATTCTGACGTGACTTATTGACCTTTTTTGGTAATCAGTTAATGATGGGTTGACTAACTGATTATTAATTATTCAGTCATATACATACTAAATAAATAATCATCCAGGTCAATCATTCCGGCGACTGGATCCGTTGAAATCTGAGTCGGTTCCGACACAGTTTTCGCCAATTCCAGCAAGTTCCTTACCGCCGGATTCGGGGCGGAATCGACCGTGTCATAATAACCTGGGATCCATTACGATATTGAATATTACTTTATTTTTGGATGAGTAGTATTTCTTAATGCTATTTTGCACACAGTCCATATGCTTGCAAAATATCCTCCTACCTGAATATGAAGATCAGATGTACTTCGTTCATCTCCACTCCTCTGTCACTTTTATATCCGAAAAAATAGCAAAATATTGTTTGTTCAAGTCAGGCTGTTGTTAACAATACAGGTACTCCGTCACGAATACATGTCATTTGAAACTCTCCTTTATAAAGTACAGATTTGACGAACAAGTTCGATTATCGCATGTGCCACCTTCAAAATAATATCGCACTGCTCACACTTTCAGTTAGAGCACAAGAGAGATATCGTTTGTTACTAAGGATTTTGCCTTTAAACCATGATCACTATATGTGTAAAGGCTTACTACCAAAATCGTTAAAAATAAATTTATCTGCGACAGCAGTTTCTAATATTGCGCAAATGAACGAGTAGATGTATATGGGAACTACATGAATTAATCTTTTTAATTGTTCCTTTTTTAAGTACATATTGTAAAGAATTTGTCTGACATATGGCTTCGAGATGATGGAAGTTTTCTCCGAAAGCTCGGAATAAAATTGAAATTCGTGGAATTACAGTGTGCATTATTTCAGTTGTATGCTCATCCATTCATTCATGTTAAAATAGTAGGAGTACACGAACTACGAATGTAAGCATCGATAAATTATTACTCGCCTCGTCCAATCGAACTTTTCTACTTCCTTATCCGTGTCCGCTATCGTAAATGATAAATAGGGGACTTGATGCAGTTTATACCAAGTGGAAGTCTCTGAAAAACGGGACTGAGAGCTTATATATATATACATCAAAGTATCCAAAACGACAAAATTTTCTCAAGAAGATCGTTCAAGAGACTAGAAATGAAGAATTTCGAAAGAAAAGCGCAAGAAACTTGAACTAAGAACGACGCTACTATGACATTCCGGCGCTCGGTCGCCTTCATCTCACACTATTAGTTATATCAAAGCTTTTGCGTTTTCCTTCCATCCAAATGCTCCAGACAACTCGATTTGTTCCATCTTAGTATATTATGACTTTTACTTTCAAACTTCACATGAATATTTCGTAAGTCTCAACATCTTTCATACAGGACAAATGTTTGGCACGGGTAATATGGAAATCATCCGATCACCCAATGACGACAATGGATCTACACCAAAATATACAGCTTTATCTTCTGCATACGGCCCAAGACACATCGGTGCGGTGAATAGAAGAACACCATAAGTCAGCATATACCGAAAGAGTGATGGTAATCGTGCTGGCAAATATGTTTCCATGCCACACGCGATGCCATTCGAGAAAAAACCAGCGAACGTCGACCATAGCGATGATTTGTCATTGAAAACAACCAAAACAATATGAGCGTGAAAAAGACCGCTGACAGTGAATGTCAATAGAGACGAANCATCACTAACGAACCATTCCATTTTACATCGAATTATGAACTTCGCCTGTACACGTCCGGTTGTTACTATCTTGATTCAAATAATCGATGGCAATCCGATGGATTGATTGTAAGTCATTTCAACGTTACAAAATAAAGTTCCTTTTCTTTCCTTCAAAAGGTCGGCTCATTGACAAATGTGAATGAAACAGAATGCTTATCAACTCATTTAACAACGTTTGCAAGTGGATTTCTTGTGTTACCAGCACCCATCAACTGGAATTATGTCTTCGCAAATGTTGATTTCAATCGCAACAAAACAATTTATATCACCGTAATCTGCGTTTCTATTCTTTATCTACTCATAATGACCTATGCACACTATAAGGATAAAACGGCCATTGAAAAAGTAAGATGCGATGTATTTATTTCAAAATGCGAAACTGTTTCATTTCAGTTGGGAGTGCTTGCATTGGAAGATAACCTTAAGGAAGATCAGTATTGCTATCAAATCACTGCTTTCACTGGAAATCGAAAGAATGCAGGAACCAAATCTCGAGCTCATTTCATTCGCGCTGGTGATGAAGATGAAACACAGGTTCAAACCTTCAATCATTCCAAGCGACAGATATTTCAACGTGGCCAAGTGGATTCATTTGTGATGACTGCAGGGAAGAAAATGCGATTGATCAATCGAGAAGTTCTGTCGTATATTTGTGTTCTTGTTCTTCTTAACGTTGTCAGCTATTCTCATCGAATTGACTATCAATTCAAACAAGTCGATCATTCGAGAAAATACCTTCTCAGTCCACAAGTTCGATCACCTAGTTGTTGCCTGAATACATAATTATTTGCTTGATATTTAGATTTCCACTATCGATGAATATTGGAATTGGCTAGAGAATGATGTTTTGGAGAAGGTTTGTGTGCAATCATGGTGCAACGGCGATCCGCCTCGCAATCTCTCTGGATATTTCAATGATAAAATAAATCGACTGATCGGGTGGGTCAAAATGAGACAATTACGTGTCAAATCTGAACAATATGGACCGTGGAATTCTACATGCGATTATGATTTTCGTTCATCAAATGAAGAAAAACGTTCATTGGAACCAGGATGGTCAACTGTATTAGTTGAAAAAGCTTTTCAATACACAGCAGATAGTTATGTTTATGACTTTCGCGGCCGATTATCCGATCTTCGAAGTAATCTTTCTACACTTCGTCAATTCAATTGGATCGATAGTCAGACAAGATTTATCGAGATCCAATCGAATCTATACCAACCCAATGTGAATTTGTTCACTTCGATAAAACTGCAAACAGAATTTCAATCAACTGGATATTCGCACTTTGAATTTCACATTGATTCATTTTCATTTCAAAGTAAGTCATTTCGCCATTTTCTTCTCTTTCTGAAGATTCTCTTGATATTTCAGTGATGTCAACTGTGTCTGAATTAGTTTGTAATATTGTCTATCTAATAATTATCATGGGTCTGATGATTGAACTGGTTCACTCAATCAAACGAATGAAAATGAAATACTTCCACAATGTTTGGTCTTATGTTAATATGAGTATCATCATTTGCTCATGGATTAACATGATCATCGTTGCATTGAAACATCAGCAAGCAAACATCATTGAGAAGTTCTTCGACGAAACCAACGACTATGTTTATATTGATCTGGACTATGCAATCAGTTTGGATAAGTTATTCAAGAACTTTCTGTACTTGACTTTGGTTCTTGGATGGATCAAGGTTGTTTGCCTTTGTCACGTTTACGGTCGAATCATACTTTTCGTTCAAACACTTGAACATACTGCCAATGTTCTGCTGTCGTTTTATTACTCCTGTTCGCAATTATATTGATCTCGTCTATTCGCTTGTTCCATTTATTATTCCTATCGAAATCAATCAACTGTTGAATACATTGAATCGAGTACGCGTTGTTCAATGAAGCGTACTGTATAACTGATATTGTTCTCCTAGATTCACACAAATCAACAAAAGTGAAATTATTTACAGTTCTCGATGTTGTCTGTATCGTTTTTGTACTGTGCATTTCTATGTATGTATAATATAGAATGAACATTAACGATTATACTCGGTCACGATGAAGTGCACAATGCATGCAATTCACTGATTATCTTTCATTCTTATAATAAAGTATCTACATGATTAATTATCTGGTTAATTAATGGATTCTTGTAATGTAGCGAAATAAGGAGAGAAAGCAACATTTTTATTTAATTATGCTGAAACATGTCTACTTACAAAAACTGAATACAAACTCGTTTGACACGTATAGGACTTTTCTATATTCAGCGTCTCAAAAGAATAAATTATCATACAAACGAGAATTCGTGACTTATCGTTTATAATTCAGAGTACGACAGACAAGTTTTACCTTTTTTATCACGTTAAAAGAAAAGTCATAGCTCGCTACACTATTGTCATTTATGAACTAAGTCAAATTAAGCACATTTAGTCTTGTTGCGGGAACAATTGCGACTGGTCCAACTCGACGACGACAGAATTTCCATCTGCCAATAAAATCCGTCAAATGTTTTCGAAACGTTTTGGAAACTGCGCAGTATACCCAAAATGTGAGTCCATTCGTCAAAAACGTGAACATCGTGAGAACCAGCATGATAAGATGTTCATAAGCTGCTCGTAGAAGTGTCCTCTTGGAATATTGTGTGATTAAAATGTAACAAAAATAGATTCCTGCAGGTATACCACTCATTAGTAAAATACTCATCTGAATGAGCATCATCCGAGTTACAACAGTTTCCAATGTTTTTCGACGTCTTAACAATTGTCGCAAGTTGAACCAAGTTAAGCAGAAGAATACAAAGATGAATGCTACTGGTAAAAAGTAGTAACCGATGATGATGCAATAATTACCATATGTAATGATGACAGGAAGAGAACTTGTACATAGATACGTATTTAATGAAGTAGAAGTATGTTTATAATAAATAGGTAAAGGTATAAAGATCAGAGGCCAAAGGATGGCTGCGACACAAATCATTAGTTTTGCACGAAAGCGTGTAATCAGTCGTTGCCATTGAAGTTTGGGTGAAGTGATAAGATATTGTCCTAACGTTACAAAACAACTACACATAAAACTAAAACAACCACTTGAATAGGTCAACCAAGTGCCTATTTTACACCAAAATAACCATTGATCTGCTAGTTTATTTTCACTCCATACTCGAATGATAGCGGATGATAGACCAATATCAATAAAAATCAAACTTCCTACTGATGCAGCTATCATGAACAACGCATTGGGATGTTTGTTCAATGCTGGAATGCACAGAAAAGCGAAACAGTTACATAAATTGCCAACTGTACTATATAGGACTATGAATAAACCGACAGTTTGGTATAGACGATCTCCAACGGACAGTAAATACAGAGCAGTGCTCAAATCAGAAGACATTTCAAATCTTGTGTAAATGATGTAAGTATAGTAGTGTATATATGCGTGTTAAAATGAGTATATAAATGAAACTATAATAATGGCACGACATTTTATTTGCGCATCAATATAGAACGCATTTGAGAGCTTAGAGCAGGAGAAGCAAATTGCCGTAGAGTCAAGTGTACTTTATGGACTATATTCACTGCGCTTGTAGTAAAGTCATCCAAGTTAAGCCGATACGAAAGTAGGTCAACGAAGTTTAAGGAAACGTACTATAGCTCGTCGATAGCAATAGGACCCTTTTTTTTAAATAAAACATAATTTTACACGAAATGAGGACATGAGTCCCATTGAATCCTAGTGTATGGTGATGATCAAGAATTTCATCGAATAAAAAAGATAAACCGAACAGAAATCTCGTCGTAATTTTCGCATTTGCACTTAAATTTGCGTTTCTCAAGCGAAGTGCCTCGTAGATCTTTGTCTCCAGATGTTTACGCCAACTAGTTTGATTAAATGATAAATCATTTAGTCTAGAACTATTGCTTTCTAATTTGTATGTTGAGAATTTATGTATATCCAAAAGTATAACATTTATCAATATACCCGAGCTGTTCGAATTATGTGGTAATTTGATCACTTATCGTTAGTTCGCCATTTCACTGGGTGATATTTGGTTAATGTGTCTTTGCCAGGTACGAGCTATGGTAATATGTTGAATCATTCCTGTTTATACACTCTGTATCTATTAATCCTTTAAACATACATACAATTCATCGATAATTATTCAATGAAAAAGTTTTCAAAAATTCCTGTCGATAAGTTTTAGACGAAAAAATGTAAAGAAGAAGTGGTAAAAAGTATATCGTTTGCTGCCAAAGGCTTAAAATCACACGGACTTGCGCCATAAAAGGAGTGTTCATCGACGGAACGAATGTAATTATTGTGTAACCGACGCCTGCAGGAATAGAAAACACAAGATACACACTCACTTGTAAAACTATCATGCGCACTAGTTGATTTTCAACACGACGCATACGGATCTCTTGTTGAGTATTCATCGCGTGTGGAGCAGTACGATGTGTTTGTCTTTGAATGTTCCGTACGAGCAGACAACCGAATACAGTCATAGCTATCGGTATGAGAATATACGAAAGAACAATTCGACTTGAAAGATAAATATTAGCGATCGTATATGAATATGCGACGCATTGGTTTGTTTTAAGATTCAGATCATACAGCAATGCGTGTGGGAAAGCATAGATAGCCGTGAGGAGAGCAACGGTGATTATAATCTGTTGTGCAATTCGCACGCGACTTAGATTGCGGATACGTGCCGACAATGCACTGGCAAAAAAACGATCGGCAGATGCGAATACTAACATTAAGGAAATAAATAATGGCAAAACATATATTACGAACGTTTGTAATCGACATCCAATGGGTGTTGATGTTACAACATATCCGAAACGAAGGCGAAGAAACATCATTACGGGTACTTCGCATGTATATAGTAAACAAGTAAAAGCGAAAGCAAGAAAATAATGTGTAATTGAACATGAACGAAACTTTGGACGGTAGAGTACGTAGATATTAATAAGATTTGATATAATTGTCAGGGAGATAGTAATTGGATAAATATATACAGAAGCTTTGTTAATTTCAGCCTGTAGATTGTTTGAAACAGACGGCGATGATGTGGTATTCATCCGATAGAGCACAAAAATAGTCTAAAAGAAGAAAACAGGATTGACTGACATTTTCTCTAAAGGCTTTGTTGAGATTATTGCTGTTTGAAACAATGAACATTGGCTTTCTGCGCTGTTTTTTATGAATAAAAAGTTTGCCATGCTGGTTCATCCTCGCATGTGAAGTAAATGAAACAACGTCATAGAGAACAAATGTCCGAGCATGACATTTATCTTTTTTTTTTACAAAGACAAGTGTATTTATTTAATTAATAAGATATATAAGTGTTACTCAGCCGAAACAGTCGAGAAAAAAAACTCTTGTTGAAGGAAATGTATTCTTAATTATTCTTTTGTGATAAAATCTTCTAAAATGAGAGATGTACAAGAATAGAATATCTCAAATGAATAATACATTTGCGCTAAAAATGATCATAAGAGGCTAGTGATATTGTATCTATTTATTCAATTTCTCAATTCCATACAAAAATGTCCTCACTCTCTGAAAAGTATAGAGAATGAATTGAGGATTCATGCGGTTTGCACATGTATGCTAATGGAAACTGTAGTTTCGTCTCACTCGTATAATTACATTTCCAAATGTTCCGAAGCGAATTAAAGCGGTAGTATAAATTGAGAGATTCATATAGTAGCAAAATAGATGCTGAGAGCCAAAGCATAATCTGAGCTCGACATGCTAGGAACTGATAGTGATTCTCGTAGCTATCTGTAGTATGTTGATTTAGTGTGAGAAACTTCTTGAAGTGTTTACTTTCTCTGAAATAAGTGCCTTCGTTTCAGACTTAGGAAAGTTTCATATCGTTAGCTATAATTAACTTCCTGAGAAATAGCAACTTTAGACAAGTTTTTTTTGAAAAAAGAAAAAGATTAAATATCCGGTTTTCTGCGGAATAATCTTCTATAGAATCGCGAATAGACATTGCCTCGATCATTGTTATTCGGTGCATACAATGTAAGACTTATAAAAGAATTTTGTGCCAACACCTGTTCCTGTCAATAGGGATAGTAGCGCTCGACCAACTCCAGGCATATGCAACGCAGCCCATGGATGATAGAGACCAGCTGCAACAGCTCTCATGAGTCATCGCATCTTGAAATGTTACATAATCACTGAACAAATCATGTCCAGGCAAAATGGCCATATTGGAACATGCCAAATAATTAGCTAAAATAGAAGATTTTATTTAGTAATAGTGAATGTATTCTGGAACTCCATAGAGCCTCATTCTCTCTATTTCGCGTATACTCAAAATTATATTACATACCAGTAGTTAGTGTAATGATTGACTCTACGTTTTAGCGAAAAAACTAAAGTAGATAAATAGCCCGCAGTAAACAAGAGTAGGCAATTAGAAACACGATGGAATCGATGAAAAAAGGCTCAGTCATACTCAAGCTCAGAAGATTTCAAAGTCTATGAAAAAAATCAGTTTTGAGCTACTCTGCGAAAGAAAGTGGATATTATCTTGATAGTCTGATGGTATGGGTGTTCCAGATGTAATCAGTATAGTAATAGTTCCCGCATGAATTTCTAGATTATTATTCGAATTTACGTCACTTCTAAATAATTGACTACTCGAACATGTTTGTTGAAAATTAGCTGTCTTGCATTGAACTTTGTTTAAACAATTCATTTGACATTGACGCGTATTTAGCGGCGTCAGATCACATACGATAAACAAGTAGTTGTTGTACATTGAAACCGCCATCGATCCATTAGAGTCAGTCGGACTAATCGTATGTCATATGCAGCTCTTTGTTGGAAAAAAGCTAACAAAAACAAGAGAAAAAAACACTTTTTGACACCATAACTGAGAAGACTGCCTCGAATGAAAGTTACAAAAGTCTTCCTATTTTCTTTCTTTCATTACGATATTGAATATTACTTTATTTTTGGATGAGTAGTATTTCTTAATGCTATTTTGCATACAGTCCATATTCTTGTAAAAAATCTTCCTACCTGAATATGGAAATCAGATGCACTCCGTTCATCTCCACTCCTCTGTCACTTTTATATCCGAAAAAATAGCAAAATATTGTTTGTTCAAGTCAGGCTATTGTTAACAGTACAGGTACTCTGTCACGAATACATATCATTTGAAACTCTCCTTTATAAAGTACAGATTTGACGAACAAGTTCGATTGTCGTATGTGCCACCTTCAAAATAATATCGCACCGCTCACACTTTCAGATAGAGCACAACAGAGATATCGTTTGTTACTAAGAATCTTCCCTTTAAATCATGATCATTATATGTGGAAAGGCTTACTGCCAAAATCGTTAAAGATAAATTTATCTGCGACAGCAGTTTCTAATATTGTGCAAATGAATGAGTAGATGTATATGGGAACTACATTAATTAATCTTTTTAATTGTTCCTCTTTTAAGTGTATATTGTAAAGAATTTGTCTGACGTATTGTTTCAAGATGATGGAGGTTTTTTCCGAAAGCTCGGAATAAAATTGAAATTTGTAGAATTTCACAGTGTGTATTATTCCAGTTATGTATTCATTCATTCATGTTAAGATAATAGGAGCACACGAACTACTAACGTAAACATCGAGAAGTTATTACTTGTCTCATTCAATCGAACTTTTCTCTGCCTTATCGATGTCTGCTATCGTAAATGACACATAGAGGACATGATGCAATTTACACCAAGTGGAAGTCTCTAAAAAACGGGACTGGGAACTTATATATATATATCAAAGTATCCAAAACGACGAAATTTGCTGAAGAAGATCGTTCAAGAGATCGGAAATGAAGAGTTTCGAAAGAAAAGCGCTAGAAACTTGAACTAAGGACGACACTACTATGACGCTCCGGTACTTGGTCGCCTTCATCTCATACTATTAGTTATATCAAAGCTTTTGCGTTTTCGTTCCATGCAAATGCTCTAGACAACTCGAGTTGTTCCATCTTAGTATATTATGACCTTTACGTTCAAACTTCACATGAATATTTAGTAAGTCTCAGCATCTTTCATGCAAGACAAATGTTTGGCACGGGCAATATTGAAATAATCCGATCACCGAATGACGACAATTGATCTACACCAAAATATACAGCTTTATCTTCTGCATACGGTCCGAGACACATCGGTGCGGTGAATAGAAGAACACCATAAGTCAGCATATACCGAAAGAGTGATGGTAATCGTGCTGGCAAATATGTTTCCATGCCACACGCGATGCCATTCAAGAAAAAGCCAGCGAACGTCGACCATAGAGATGATTTGTCATTGAAAACAACCAAAACAATATGAGCGTGAAAAAGACCGCTGACAGTGAATGTCAATAGAGACGAAATTGATCGAGAAGATATGTACAAATTTAATGGTTGAAAAAGTGATTCTTTGAGAATAGTACCAATAATTTGATTGTACCGTTGACCCCAAAACTCACGCACTGATTGAGATAGGAATGGGATATTGTTCAAAGATTGCATTGTATATTGATCTCGAGTAATAATTCGGACGAGAACTGTTTCAAGATCAATTACATAGGAAAATGTCAGTATTGATATGAAATAAACCATGACTCGTATATAACTATCATTTGCTTCGCATATTAATAACCATTTGTGTATCAATCGATTAAGTAGAAATTTTATCACAGCCGAAAGCAAATGAAACATAACTGACCACTGTTTTTCTTCTACTGAACAAGGTTTTACCGGAAAATAAATCCATAAACATTTGCAAAGAAAGGAAAGAAAAGTTTGAGACTGATCGACAGATAAAACAACCAAATGAAGAAGACGAAGGCACATCATCCAATAACATGCTATGCCAAACACAGATTGAATATCATGTGGAGGCAGATTTCGAGCACCAATATCAGTCAAGATAATACAGGGTATCAATGTTAGTACACCTCGAAGTAATAGGTGATTAATATGACGAATAAGATAAAAACTTAGAACGAAGTGTAGAAGCCACCCGGAGTTGATTAAAATCAAACTTTGCATGTCTGTTTCGAAATTCTATTCTATTTTATGAAACATGCGTTGACAACCAAGTTTTTCAACTTTTTCATTTTCATGAAAGGACGCAATAATTTATCATTCTTATCTTTTCTGCGCTGTTATATTATGACATTGTGAATGCAAATGTTTACCTGTACTTTGACATCATTTGCATTGTGTATAGATAAGCACCATCTGGAAGACAAAGTTGATGTCCTCAAAAGTTAAATTTTGTACTTGAAAGCTCGTCAGACGTCTCAATAATTCTTTCTATTGTACGGCGAATCATAAGTGGTAAAAGAGCGTATACTGCTTTGTTCATTAGCATCTATTCATGTTCGGTCAAACATTTTCGTAGAAACAGAAAAATGTTGTACGAGAAAGTGTTGCTTTGACGAATGGCTTTGCTGCTATCGACTTCAATACCTGAAAGCAAATCTTTGCACTTCGAGTCTTCGTCCTAATTGTACTTTTAAAGAAATTCTGGAGTTAAACATAACAAGCGAAGAATTATCCTTATGATCGACGGTAATTAACATAATCAAAATAGAAACTATGTAAGCAGGAAGAACTTCTCATTTCAAAAGAAAAGCTTCTTTAATTAGACTTCACCCAGATTTGGTTTCCAATAACAATCATCTACAATACACTTGTAATCATTCGGTGTCCTATTTTAGATTAGGGTGAAACCTACAAAGAGAAAAATCCATTGTCTCAATGATGATATCATTCCAATAGGACTCATATACACTCTAACTGTGCATTTTTGGACGAGATTTGGTAGACGTCGGCAGTGCTCTCGAAAATTCGTGGCAAGAAGTAGAAATATATTCATCATTTGGATAATCTAAGGTGTTTTGAAAATGTTTACTCCATCGTTGTGAAGCTACTCGTACGATTCTTCTTACTATTTGCGTTAATTCGTGAAATAGTAGTAGATTGGCGGTTGTTCGCAAGCTAAAGCGTCTTGAAAACGAAATTGACTCCTCTCACTCTGTATGTTTTGACGTATCAAGCCATTTTTTTTCGATAACTGAAGAAAAGAACTGTTTTTTTGTTCTCATACTTCGCAAGAACTTTTGATAAATGAATTACGCCATTTTCTCTAAACTTTCAATCGTCCACATGAACTATTTTAACACGCTATGACGGTAAGTCTTGATTTTCTCCGGGTACTCGGCATAAATCTTCAAAATATGCACTATGTGCGGCACACAAGCGAATATGAAAATTATAAAACTGTGCACTGATACTAAGGTAATATTTTGACGTATGCTAATGTTGGAAAAATCTCTTTCTCGAGTTGTCATGAGTGGACATAGATGTTTCTTTGCCCTCATTACTCATCTAATATTTGAAAATACAGTTTTTCATCGCTCCTGTTAACGTTAAACTTAACACTATCTGGGTTCAGAAGTTTGAGGAATATATTTTTATGTCAATCGCTCCATTTAAAAATTGAACATCTGTTTAAATTACAGAAAATTCTCAAATTAAGTTTCTAATTAATCAAATATCTCGAAATTATCAATATGAACATTCAATTCAGTTGGTTGGATAGGTGTATTTCCAAATTCATCTCCTTCTATCGGCTCAGTCAATACCCAGCCTGGAAAAGAAAATGGCATTAAGTTGTGACCTTCACATCAGTTGAACTTACTCAAATCTGCTTGACAAATATCGATAACACAACGTAACAGTTGATGTATTTCGGCCAATCTCTGGAGAACTTCTCGGAGCTCATTTTTATGGTATATAGCTCCACATGTTCGGCAAATTAAGGATTGTATCGAGAGAGTTATCCTATTCCGACAAAATGCACAAACTCTAGAAGAGCACAAGAGAAGATTTTATTTAAAGTCTATCTGAAATTTTACATACGATTCTTCTAGTAATGGTTGTACAATATGATCTATGTAAGAGAACCTTTAACGAAAGTTGTGAAATGTGAGATCAAATGTACTTACCCATACTTCCACGACAGTTAGGACAGTTAAGATTTTGATTGTTATTATGTCTTGTCACTAACCATGAAATAATACAACCTCTATGATATATTTGGCGACACGTGCCACATTGCTCTGATAAAGCACTTATATTTTGTACGTCTTCAAAACAGATAGGACATGAACTAAAAATAAATAGGGACTATGCATATGATGAAGAGATTTTGAGAAGAATGAACACTATCACGCTCGAAATCGAAGCAAAGAGGATACGTAATGGAGGCAGAATGTTTGGATATGAAAACATAATTGTCATCTCTTGGTGTTTTTACTCTCTAATTTTTGAATAATTTTGCTCCTGTCAAAATAAATATGAAGCAATTTGAGTAGAAACGATTTTTTGGTTGTAAAATGAAAACGAATTAAATGAAGCTCCAACCTACAAGATTTACTTTGAAAAAGAAACACTTACGAAAGGGCATTTTGCTGTTCAGCCATTAGTCTTGATGGTTAATGTAAATGCAACAAATATGTAAGAGTGTTTAGAGCGATATATCACTTATTTTTCTTTTTTCGTCTATATTTTCTTTTGCTATTCTGAATCTTAAAATGCCCGAATAGACGTGTAACATTGTTTAAAAAGTTGCCGTTGCAGTATTTTTTGATTTTTATTGAAGAATATTCTCATTTTGCGTATTTTTCTTTTCTGTCTGCTGTCTTTCGTTATTCTGACTTTTGAAACAATTAAGTGGCGTATGATTCTCTTCGTGCTGTTTGCGTCGCAATACTTTTCCCTTTTTTTTATCGACGGATATTTTCTTTCTTGTGCATTGTTATTTAAACGGAAAAATGTGTTTTTTCACATTAATTCTTTCTCCCTTATGTGTTACATGAGCCGACAGCTGTATGTATTTCGATTAGAATAAGGCAGGCTTCATCGCAACCGACAATGATTTCTCTTCATAGAAACTGGTTTTACTATCGTTGTACAATATTATTATCTTATTCTTTCTTTTTGTTTTTTTTTCTTCTGATCGTCATCTCGAGATATATGTTAAAATAGGTAGAACTAAATAGACAGTGTACGCTAGGATCAACTAGTGTTTATCGTGTACCAATGTGAAGCCGGCAAGTTCTTCATTGAACTTCTGCCGGAAGTGCATCACTGTTTATCTGTTTTCTTCAGAGAGAAAATCTCAACACACATTCTCATTTTGAAAAGTTTTATTTTAGAGGATTAGAAAATGAGCTCCGCAACGATAGCAGCAGTTCCAGTTTCAGACGAACAGAAGAAGAATGACTTTTTCACTCCAGGTGATTGGTTATATTGGACATGCAAATTTCAAGAAGCTCGGCAACATTTTCAAACCGCTCAGCAACAATTATTTTTAAACGATTCTGATTTGATCCGATGTTACAAATCAATAGGTGCTGTTGAAGTCCAATTGAAAAACTATGATGATGCAATCAGCACTTATCAAAAACAATTGAATAAACTGAATGAATGTCACTCTTTAGACAAACTTCAACAAATCATCACATGTTATATCTCAATAGGGAAAGTTTATTGGTTAAAACAGCAATATGATCAAGCTATTGCCTATCATCAACAAGCACTTGAACTTATCCAATCTGACGTGGATTCTACAATTAATCTTTCAGTTATTCATCAGAATCTAGGCAATATCTATACGAATACAAAGCAATTTGACTTAGCGTATGAACATTTTCAAAAAGCACTACAAATTGATGGTCTACATTTACCGAAGAATCATCCTAAGATTGCCCAAACTTATGCAAACATGGCATTAATGTATCAGTCGAAACAAGATTATCAGAATGCATTGATTTATTTTGAAAGAGCTTGTGAAATCTTTCTCAATACATTTTCAAAAACTCACGTGTCCGTTGAAAAGTTAAGAAAAGCCATACGCGCCATCGAATTCTCACCAAGTTTACAGGTAAATACCTACTATCTTTTCCCTGCCTATGACTTACAATTTATTTCCAAACAGCCTGTGAACTCATCGGATATTCTCACTTTGAACAATATGACCATCGTTTGGTTAGATGAACATATTGGACTTGATGAGAATTGTCGTGATTTGAAAAACGAATTTCGTCGAATTACAAACAGTTTCAAGATGGTTGACTCTGTCGAAAGTTGTCGACAATGCTTACCATATATCAAAAATAGAAAAGTCTTTTTCATCATTCAAGGTAAACATGTCAAAGAGATCATTCCTCATATTGTTCAAATTATGTCACCAGAAATGAAACCTGTTGTTTATGTTTTTTGTTTGCATATCTCACACTTGAATGAATGGGCACAAGAACAGGAATATATTATGGAAGGTGGTATGTTCAATCATGAAAAAGATCTTCTGGCCAAACTCACAAGTGACGTAAAGAAATATATTCAACAACAATCAGAAGAAAAGACAACGTTTTTTGAACAGTTTAACCAAATATTCGACCATTGTTGTCGTGTAATAGAAAAAATTGCATCTCGTCATTCAACAAATATTGATGAAAATGCACCTGTAGCTATGGTCACACACTAAACTCGACTGTATAATAATCATGACTATTGCCCTAATTCTACATAATATTATTATTTTCAGTTGTTATGGATGATAATCATTATTCTTCATAACAAGAACACTGATTCTTGCGTCTTTTTTTTTAAATAAATTTTGCACATTGGATGATTATTGTTGACTCCATCTTAGCGTCAATGTTTATACAAAGATACGATGTACACGTACATCACCGTCTAACCTTTTCTGTAGTTTATTAAGTAATTAGAGATGGGAACACGAAAAAATAAAGAGTATCTGAGATTGAGATATTTTCAGCAAATAGTAATTATGAATCATGTGCATTAGACATGGTTTATGAGAAATTTTTGACAACTTCTAAGATCGAATTCAATAACCTCTATCGGTAAGAAGCTAAAAATCTATAACGAACGAATTTTCACGTCGCTATCTTCGGACAGTCGTTCGTGAATGATTAGTAGCAATCAAATTGAATCATGTCAAAGTGTATCGATTTCGGTTCTATGCAAGAGATTGTATCAACCAACATGACGAATGAATATCATCGAATCTTTATGAAAGTCAGGTGAGGGTGGTGTATCAATTACGTGTGCATATAATTAAACTTTTTGTCATTGTTACGACATTTATTTTCAATCTGAAGATGGATTTCACTCGATTTCTATTCGTAAAAGAATTATGTTGTGTTACTATACAATTCTGCTGAGAGTGCAGGACTCACGAAATGAAATATATGGATGTATTGTTCACTTAATATGATTCGTTGCCGCTTAGATGACTACTGCTACTCTGCCCTCTGGTAACGATAACAGTTTCATTGGTTAAGACGGATCCTTCATAATTTTGTCGTACTATATTCATGCTGGATACTGTTGATTAAATACCTGATGACAGATCATATAGTTCAGCACTACTGAATGGTGCAGTGCCATTCGAGCCATACTTGCAACTAAAACCTTCCATTAATTATCGCAGGTGCTAGCTATATGGCATCGTCGTGCAAAATTCATATTTCCTGTTTTTGTCCATGGGTCTGCTGATACATTTTATAACTCAGTAGTGTTAAAGACAATAGTACTAAATCCACCTGAGACTAGAATTATTCCATTTGATAGCACTGTTGATGTGTGAGCATATCGCATAGTAACAGTAATGGTTGCTGCAGCATCCCATATTAAAAATAAGAAGAACAAATGAGAGAAGAATTTTCATACAAGATCTTACACTCGAGAGACACCAACGTGTAAACGAGTGTTTTTTATTTATTTCTGCATATTCTATTGGTGCTCAAGTTGCATAAAGTGTAATTCATGTCGGTCTGCAATGTTTGCGAAGCACACTAAACAAAACTGAAATACAAGAAAAGAAAACCAATTTCTCACTCTGTAATTTTGATCCACTACAAAGTTATCCGCTCTATGTATTTATTTACTAATGAATCTATATTCGTGCATATAATTAAATGAAGCTTTTCAGTTGAACTATTTCCATCAAATGAGCAAGTAAAAAGTTATCCAACTAATGCTTGGTTTTCAGAAACAGAAAAAAACTGTGAAGTTATGTGATTTACTATTCCATTTTTATGCGTTTCTTTATCTTAAATTCTATGGAGCTGAAAATTCTGTCCTATACTGACCCGATACTATATTCTTGTCGTCTGCATACCACGAGTAACTGCTGTCGTTGATGCGTTTGACTGTGATTCCGACATCAACATCATCTTTGCCAACATTGACACACTGAAAGTTGCAAATGCTACTGATTGATTCATATCGATTACCAACGAATTCAGCTTTCATTCAAATGCAGTCGCAGTCAGATTGACGCCAAACACTTGAACATGTTTGATTAATTGAGAAATAGCTCAATGATGATATCGTTCCATCGATTGAGAAAACTGCAGTTCGCACGAGATATGATGGGCAGAAGCAAAAGCATATTCCTTATTTCATCATCTTAGTGTTTTTGCAAACGGTTTTCTATGAAAAGTGGTATAAAAAATAGAAAATTACCTTTCTTGACAGGAGTAATTTCGCCTATGTATTTATTCTTTCTATGATTAGAAAGAAGTCAAATTTTATTTTATAGCACTTTTCGCAGAATGCTTTGTTTAGAACATCTATTCATGATTTTTATGATACATAGACATATGAAAATAACAGCACTTTTTCCTGTTTCTCTGGTGACTACTTTTAGGTATTCTGGCCTTGACGATTCAAATAAAAAACTTCAGGAGGAAAAAGACTCGTTGGATCCTGAGAGTGTTCAACACACCTACCCGTTGTCAATAACACAATTTGTATAAAATATAATCCATCTAACTTTTTACCATGGATAATATCAAATAGACGCTTCGGTCTTCAATTCAACATCGATCAAATCTATAGCCTTCACGACGAACAGCAATACAAGAATAATACGTGTCGCACAAACACATGGCGTTTGTTATACGCAGAACGAGAAAAAAAAACAGTCATTTGGCTGCGTTTGTATTTTCTGTGGGTTGGTGATGTTTTATTAGTTCCCATGTGACTAAGATAATGTATGCTTCAATGAAAACGAACACATCCATATAAAAAGTACTGTCTGTAATTCATAACGAATGATCCCCTTTTGTGATAGATATAAATAATCTGGAATGCGCAGCGATTACTTTTCTCATATGATACCTGATTATCGTATATACCAGATAGCTTCTTCACTCCGATATTGAGTGACCTGTACTGTCGCTTTATAATTATTTTCTAGATCAACACAGCCAATTACATACAAATATGATGAACAAACCACGTTTATGCCTTCTCCTATTAGTTACTTGTATTGTTGTCGGAACGTTATTCTATATAAAGCAGCCAACTTATTATCGCCACATTCTCCGTCACTACCGAAAAATAGTAATCAGCCATCTGCAATTAAATACTCATCTCGAAACTTTTCTCTCAACTGATCAGTATGTTCTTCATGACGGCAGTGATTGCATCTACTATGACAACAAAAATGGTCTCTTTCATCCAAAGACAAAACATCCACGCTTCATCGTCACTGGAGGTGCTGGCTTCATCG